CTGGTGACTCTGGTGCTGCTGCGGGAGCTGAGCCTGGGGGTGCTGCGACTGGAGGTGCTACGCCTGCGGGTACTGAGCCTGGGGGTGCGGGGTCTGGAGGTGCTGGGCCTGGGGGTGCTGAGCCTGGGGGTGCTGAGCCTGGGGGTGCTGAGCCTGGCGGTGCTGAGCCTGGGGGTGCTGAGCCTGGAGGTGCTGAGCCTGGGGGTGCTGTGCCTGGGGGTACTGAGCCTGGGGGTACTGAGCCTGGGGGTGCTGAGCCTGGAGGTGCTGAGACTGGGGGTGCTCCGCCTAGAGGTGCTTCGTCTCGCCGAGAGCCACTCTCCCCTCAGGAGCTACGTGAGTGGTTTGCCAGGCGCTGGAGGCGTGCTGCTGGTGCTGGAGGTTCTTCGGCTGCAGAGGGTACTGCTGCCGAGCGTCCCGGCGGTGCTCGTACTGTGGGTGCTGGAGCTGCTGGGTCTGAGGGTTCTCCTGGAGCTGGTGCTGCTGAGGGTGTTGACGCTGAGACTGCCGCTGGAGGTCCGACTGGTGGTGCTCCCGGTGATGCTGCTGGAGCGGGTACTCCTGCTGGGGGTACTGGTGCTGTCCCTGCTGTTTCTGGCGTCGCCGCGCGGCCCCGGCCGTACTTCGTTCCGCTCCTGCAGCAGGTTCTTGGTCTTACACCTTCTCCTAGTCCTCCTCCTCCTCCCTTAGAGGGTCCACAGCCTGTCTCGTCACAGTCACATCTACAGCCTGCCTCACCTTTGCCTGCTCCTTCTCCCTACGCTGGTCCGACTGGAGGTCTTACTGAGCGTCGTGAGCCTGCGTCTCGTCCTACGTCGCCTGTTCGTACTGCGCGCACTAGTGGTCGTGGTTCGCGTCAGCGTCCTCCTCCTGTCCCTGGCACGCACCGGATGTCTCTGCGTCCGTCTACTGCTCCTCTGCGTGCCCCTTTGCCTTCTCCTCCTGCTTCCTCTCTTCCTGCTCTTGCCGACCCGGAGTCGGACTCTCTTCGTGCTGCTAGTCCTATTGTCACGCGTCTTCTTGCTACTGCTGTCACTGACCCTTCTTTCGAGTCTTCTGCTGCGTCTGCCCTTGTCACTGAGCTCGTCGACTTTGCTGCGCGCTGTCGTCTAGACTACGCTGCTAGTCTTGTCGCTGAGTCTGAGTCTGCCTGTCCTCCGTCCGTCGGGGGTGAGTGTGCCCTTGGCACGGACGTCCTTGAGGACAGGCAGGAGGAGTTCCAGTGTCTGGCCGCCGCTTCACATCATCTTGCGTCTGTACTGCTAGCCCCTGAGGGAGACCCGGATGCACTAGACATCCCGACTCCGCGCTCTTACGCGGAGGCGATAGAGGGTCCCTACTCCTCTCAGTGGCAGGCAGCTATGGATGCAGAGATGGCTTCCTGGAAGTCCATAGGCACCTACGTCGACGCTGTTCCCCCTCCTGGGGCGAACATCGTCAGTGGCATGTGGATTTTCAGGGTGAAGCGGCCGCCGGGTTCTCCACCTGTCTTCAAGGCGCGTTACGTGGCTCGTGGCTTCAGTCAGCGGCAGGGGGTTGACTACTTTCAGACCTTCTCCCCCACCCCGAAGATGACCACTCTTCGGGTACTGCTGCACGTTGCTGCTCACCGTGACTACGAGCTGCACTCTCTCGACTTCAGCACAGCTTTCTTGCAGGGCAGCCTGCACGAGGAGATCTGGCTGCGTCGCCCACCTGGCTTCACTGGGTCTTTCCCTCCTGGTACCCAGTGGAGTCTCCGGCGTCCAGTCTACGGTCTCCGCCAGGCGCCACGTGAGTGGCACGACACACTGAGGACTACGCTTGCGGCACTTGGGTTTGCTCCTTCTACTGCTGACCCGTCGCTGTTTCTGCGCACCGACACCTCTCTGCCGCCGTTCTACATCCTCGTGTACGTCGACGACTTGGTCTTTGCCACAGCGGACACTGCTGGACTCGCTTACGTGAAGTCCGAGCTGCAAAAGAGACACACGTGCACTGACCTGGGTGAACTGCGCAGCTACCTTGGCTTGCAGATCACCCGGGACAGAGCAAGCCGCACCATTACCCTGACTCAGTCACACATGGTGCAGCAGGTCCTTCAGCGCTTCGGCTTCACGTACTCCTCGCCTCAGGCCACTCCTCTGCCTACTCGCCACTTGCTCTCAGCTCTGCCTTCGGATGAGTCCATAGAGTCGAGTGGCCCGTATGCAGAGCTTGTTGGCTGCCTCATGTACCTGATGACCTGCACACGACCTGACCTTGCATACCCTCTCAGCATTCTCGCACGCTATGTTGCTCCTGGGAGACACCGACCAGAGCACATGGCTGCAGCGAAGAGGGTGTTGCGCTACTTGTGCAGTACGTCGGGCATGGGGCTAGTGCTTGGAGGGCGCAGTCCAGTGGTCCTCACTGGGCACGCGGACGCTTCTTGGGCTGACGACCAGGCTACGCAGCGGTCGTCACAGGGTTACACCTTCGGCCTTGGTTCCGGCTCTGTCTCGTGGCGGGCTACTCGCTCGTCTTCTGTTCTCGGCTCCAGTTGTGAGGCTGAGATCTACGCCGGGGCTATGGCTGCTCAGGAGCTTCGCTGGCTCACCTACCTGCTGACCGACCTTGGAGAGCCGCCTCGTTCTCCTCTAGTCCTGTACGTAGACAACAAGGCCATGCTGGCCTTGTGTCGAGAGCAGCGACTGGAGCACAGGACAAAGCACATTGCTCTCCGCTACTTCCTTGCTCGTGAGCTGCAGCAGCGTGGACAGTTGCGACTTGCGTACGTGGCCTCTGAGGCCAACACTGCTGATGTCTTCACCAAGGCACTTGCTCCTTGTGATCATCAGCGTTGCTGCACGCAGCTAGGTCTTGTGCCTGTCTTGCCTCACTTGCTCACTTCTTGACCTTGCTTGTACCTTGACCTATATATACTCTTGCTCTTGCTTGCTTGACTCTTGTATATCTCTATATATGATCTTGCATGCGAACTGGCCTTGTGGCCCTTGACCTTGCGCTCGGAATGTGTGGTGACTTTGTGATCCACCCTGAGCTTTGCTTTGCTTTGCTTGACTGGTCTTGTGACCCCTTGTTCTCCCCCACTTTGCCTATGGGGGTGTGTCAGAACATTATAGCTTACTTATTTGTGTAGGCTATAGTGGGGTATCCCATAGGGGGTACAACCCAATTAGGGTTTCATATTTGTACTCACTTCATTCATAGTTGATTCATTCTCGTTCGCTTCTTCTCACAACCTGTAGGCGACCAAGACTTTACGTGGTGTAATTATTTCCGACATTTGCGGGTGGACCCAGCAGTTCCGAGAATGAGTCTTAACGGAGTCAGCGGGGTCGCTGACACTATCCGTGCCGGCGGCGGAGTTGCAGTGCGTGAGCACGATTAAGCGCGCGAAGGCACTCGTCGTCAAATGTGTAGCCGTACGAATCGGAAGCCGCTCGGGGGTACCAGCGACAACAATTACGAAGTATCGCTACAGAAGGAAGGAGAGTTTTTCGCCTCTGCCCCGCAGTTTTCGGCGAGTCACTACAACGTCGCCGAGGTAGCTGACGTCATCGACAGTTCGAGTTTCAACTTTGAAAAAATATTTGGTCACCAGGGGGAAGAGCAGCAGCTGTATTCGTCCCTGCCCGGGAGTTCTCGGAGCAACGCAAGAAAGGTCTCGGCGAGTCTGGACAAGACTGCCGGGGGCGCCGACAGCTGGAACAGTTACAGCGAGGCAATTCGCCACAGCAACAAGACAGACAGCAGCAATTTCGGGGTGGCAGTCACGGGAGATTCTGCAGCAGCAGTCGTGACTACAAGACAAGAAGATTGTTTTCTGCAGGAAAAAAACAATTTCCAAGGGTTTCGAGTCTCAGCGCACAACGATTTTACCACTCAAGGGACTTCGACGCGATTTATCCTGGAAGCAGTACGAGTCAGAATTTCGACATTTCCGCCACCGACAACAATTTCGACAGCACAGCGGCTGCGTTTCAGGCGGGAGTTTATAACATTTGGTATTCTGTTCTACCCTCGGCCTCAGTGTGATTGTGGTTTTGTGCCCGCGCAGCTGTGCACATGTCGGTGGGCAGCAGTTATCTTCAGGGGGGGGAGAAAGCGTGCTCACGCACTGTTCTCGGCAGATCTCTGACATTTCAGCAGTTATTTCTGACAGCTTCGTCTGACAATCCGGCACGACGGACGCTTGCGATGTCTTCATCGGCATCGACGACCCCCGATTCACTGACATCTGACAGCGTGTCAGAACTTTCGCCAGCATCGCCAGCGTCAACACCGCACGATTTACATCGACGGCTTTCCTTTGTCGAAAGGTTTCAACTCGTCATTCGCCTTCAACCGCCCGATCGACATCGGCAGTATCGAACGGCTGACATTCCAACTCTCTGAAATTCGCGATGGTCAACGCTATCCGCGCCGTCGAATCGGATTCCGACCGAGATCTGCAGTTTTCACGCTACTGCAAGACTCGTCTACGTATAAGGGCACCTTATTTAGAAGGTGGGAGAGTGTAATGAATATGACTTATTCATTACGGAGTCTGCTCCTAGGGCGTACAGCCCCGAGCACTTCGGGGCACCCTCAAGATTCGGCCTACACTTCGGCCCGAACCACTGCCGAGTCGCCCCGCACCAATCGCGACATTTCCGAGCCACGCACATCTAGAGGTTCTCGCCTAGCTAGTTTTCGCCCTATATATTCTCGCTTTCTTCATTGTTTCGTCATTCTGCAATCACGTCTTCTTTATAAAGTCTTCCGCGCACTCTGTCTAGTAAAACTCATAACAGCTGGAAAGGATTGTGGTTACAAGTGTCCACCCAAACTTCACCCCTCCCTTTTTTAATCCTGGTTACGATAGTCAATGGCACAACACTACATGTTTATCGAATCGTACTCGTTAGCGAAATTACAGTCAGGTTTGCGTTTCTCTGCGCGGAGTTACATGTCACGCGTCGCCCACGTCGCACTTGGACCTACAGATACGCCAAACTCCTTTCTTCGCCGCGCGCATGAGTGGCATGACTCACGACGACCCTGAAAACCCGCCTCTGCACCAATCACTTTTCCCCGCGCACGTCCGAGCGAGGGATGCGGCGGAACCATCGGCGGGAATCGCGGGGCCGCGCGGAGAAGAGCTGCAAGTGGCGAGACCAGTAGAAGGACCAGCGGCGCCGGGGCAAGGAGCGGAATGTCCAGAGGCGGGGAAAGTGGGGGGAAGCGGAGGGGGAAGATGGGGCCGCGCTGAGCTGTCAGCGGCGGAGAATGGCGCAGCGCCCGCGGTAAGGGGCGCGAGCGGCGGAAGGGGAACGCGCGGCGGAAGGGGAGCGGGTGGCGGAAGGAAGCGGCGGAAGCGGATTGCAGTGGCGCGCACAGTCCTGGGATGCGCGTGCGCGCTGCTGGCGCTTCTGGGGGTTGCGCTGATGGCGCGGAGGGGGGAAGACGGCGGAATCTCGGGCGCGTGGCTCGCAGGTACGGTCAATCTCCAACGGACCCTCTACAGTTCACCCACTGCCAGGGTAATCCACTACGCTGCTTGGCCAATAGGCTCCAACAATCACTCCAAGCACCGCGTACCTCCATGTATCCTCCCCCTTCCTTTGCCCTTACCCTCCGCACCCTCCCTCCTCCCCCTCCCCCTCCTCACCTCTCCTCCTCCCCCTCTCTCCTCTCCCCCACCAGCCGACCCTCTGCTGTTCACCCCCCTCTGCAGCCCTCCCCTCTGCTGCTGCGAGGCCTGTAGGTCCCAATTCAGTGCCGTTTCCACCCATTCCAGTGCCTCCATTGTTCCACCCCGTTCCACCCTTTCACGTCCCCGTTCCCTATCTCCCTCCCCTTCCCTGCCAGCCGAACCTCTGCTGGTCCACCCCTCTCTGGAGCCCTCCCCTCTGCTGCTGCGGGGCCTGGGTAGCTTTACACCCGAGACTGATGTGAGCGATGGGAGGGGAAAGAGGGGGAAGGGAGCGAGGGCGGATGGATGGGATGGGAGGGGATGGGGGATAAGGGGGGATGAGGAGAGGATAAGGGGGGATGAGGAGAGGCTCAAGGGGGAAGAGGGATTCACCCTTCTCTCTAGAGCCCTCCCCTCTGCTACTGCGGGGACTGGGGAGATTTTCACCCGAGACTGATGTGAGGGATTGGAGGGGAGGAGGGATGGGAGGGATGGGAGGGGGTGAAGGATGGGGATGAGAAATGGGAGGAGTGGGTGGGGAGGAGGGATGGACCGTGGGAGTTTTCAAGATAGGCTTGTGAAATACCAATCCATGAGTAAGTGGGGACAGAGGTGGCTTTTGACTAGATTCATAAGTCAGCTTTTAGATAGGATTTTGAGTTTTGGCCTGTTTTGTTATGTGTGCTTGTTTAGCATATGGAAGTATGTCCATTCGTGTGCATGTGTGTGTGTGTGTGTGTGTGTGTGTGTGTGTGTGTGTGTGTGTGTGTGTGTGTGTGTGTGTGTGTGTGTGTGTGTGTGTGCGAATTTGTGCATGTCTGCATGTCTGCGTGTTTGGCCATGTATGTTTGTGCATGCACATGTATGTTTGTGCATGCACATGTATGTTTGTGCATGCACATGTATGTGTGTGCATGCGTGCAAGTGAGCATTGTTCTTTCAGATGCGTAAGGTGGAGCAAGTGCGAAGAGAAAGCACCTATGGTGAGCTGAGTGCTGGAAAATACTATGACATTTCTGGGCTGGGGTAATCAGCACTTCAAAAAAGAAAGAAGAAGCATGCAGTTCTGAGAATGAATGGACTAAGTATGGGGCAAGGGTTGATTAATTTCATTCATGTTTTCCACATTTATTACTCCTTGTACCATCATGATCACTTCACTAACGTATCCACCTTCCTTGTAATCGCATTTTTGCAGTCCCACCCGTTGTTCAGCGCGTTTATATCGACATTTCAGGAGCCAGCATGACATTTAAGGATGAAATACAGGTGTCGTGACATGGCATTGTTTTGCTCATGTTGGCTGCTGTACTTCCCATTTGTGTCATTTTTTAGAATCCGAGAAGATGTTAAAGATATGTTCCTAGGGATTTCTTTCTTTCTCATGGTGCTCTTGCGCTCCCCTGTATTCAGTGATAATTCACATAGAATGGAATATGCAATCCCATGTTGGTTGCTCCTTCCTTCCGAAACCATGCCCCTCTTGTGTGTTCTTGTTCTGCTGCTTCTGGCATGGGTGCATGGTATGACATGGCATGTGTGCATGGGTAAGGCATGGGTGCATGGGTATGGCATGGGTGCATGGGTATGGCATGGGTGCATGGAGATCCATGGCATGGCATGTGTGCATGGCGTATGGCATGGGTAATGGAAATGCATGGCATGGCACACCATGCATGTGGACATCGATCAGGTCCAGAACCCCATCAATGGTGAGTGGAATTTTTTATGCCATGCCATGCCACTACTTACCATGTCATTATACCGTGCCACATAACGTCCAATCCCATGGTGCATCTACACAAAGGCTGTGTTCTTGCCATGCCAGCTGCTGTACTTTTCTAAGTCTGCTGCAAGAACTCCAGCATCTCAAATTTATCTAGTCTCCACTCAACCAACTGACGTGCTTCTAAGCACCCCCGCCTTAAAATGTCAAACTCTGATCCCCACCCGTCAGCACGTTTTGAGCCATCTCAAAACAAACTCCGATCCCCACCCGTCAGCACGTTTTGAGCCGTCTCAAAACAAACTCCGATCCCCACCCGTCAGCACGTTTTGAGCCGTCTCAAAACAAACTCCGATCCCCACCCGTCAGCACGTTTTGAGCCGTCTCAAAACAAACTCCGATCCCCACCCGTCAGCACGTTTTGAGCCATCTCAAAACAAACTCCGATCCCCACCCGTCAGCACGTTTTGAGCCATCTCAAAACAAACTCCGATCCCCACCCGTCAGCACGTTTTGAGCCATCTCAAAACAAACTCCGATCCCCACCCGTCAGCACGTTTTGAGCCATCTCAAAACAAACTCCGATCCCCACCCGTCAGCACGTTTTGAGCCATCTCAAAACAAACTCCGATCCCCACCCGTCAGCACGTTTTGAGCCGTCTCAAAACAAACTCCGATCCCCACCCGTCAGCACGTTTTGAGCCGTCTCAAAACAAACTCCGATCCCCACCCGTCAGCACGTTTTGAGCCGTCTCAAAACAAACTCCGATCCCCACCCGTCAGCACGTTTTGAGCCGTCTCAAAACAAACTCCGATCCCCACCCGTCAGCACGTTTTGAGCCATCTCAAAACAAACTCCGATCCCCACCCGTCAGCACGTTTTGAGCCATCTCAAAACAAACTCCGATCCCCACCCGTCAGCACGTTTTGAGCCATCTCAAAACAAACTCCGATCCCCACCCGTCAGCACGTTTTGAGCCGTCTCAAAACAAACTCCGATCCCCACCCGTCAGCACGTTTTGAGCCGTCTCAAAACAAACTCCGATCCCCACCCGTCAGCACGTTTTGAGCCGTCTCAAAACAAACTCCGATCCCCACCCGTCAGCACGTTTTGAGCCGTCTCAAAACAAACTCCGATCCCCACCCGTCAGCACGTTTTGAGCCGTCTCAAAACAAACTCCGATCCCCACCCGTCAGCACGTTTTGAGCCGTCTCAAAACAAACTCCGATCCCCACCCGTCAGCACGTTTTGAGCCATCTCAAAACAAACTCCGATCCCCACCCGTCAGCACGTTTTGAGCCGTCTCAAAACAAACTCCGATCCCCACCCGTCAGCACGTTTTGAGCCGTCTCAAAACAAACTCCGATCCCCACCCGTCAGCACGTTTTGAGCCGTCTCAAAACAAACTCCGATCCCCACCCGTCAGCACGTTTTGAGCCGTCTCAAAACAAACTCCGATCCCCACCCGTCAGCACGTTTTGAGCCGTCTCAAAACAAACTCCGATCCCCACCCATCAGCACGTTTTGAGCCGTCTCAAAACAAACTCCGATCCCCACCCGTCAGCACGTTTTGAGCCGTCTCAAAACAAACTCCGATCCCCACCCGTCAGCACGTTTTGAGCCGTCTCAAAACAAACTCCGATCCCCACCCGTCAGCACGTTTTGAGCCGTCTCAAAACAAACTCCGATCCCCACCCGTCAGCACGTTTTGAGCCGTCTCAAAACAAACTCCGATCCCCACCCGTCAGCACGTTTTGAGCCGTCTCAAAACAAACTCCGATCCCCACCCGTCAGCACGTTTTGAGCCGTCTTAAAACAAACTCCGATCCCCACCCGTCAGCACGTTTTGAGCCGTCTCAAAACAAACTCCAATCCCCACCCGTCAGCACGTTTTGAGCCGTCTCAAAACAAACTCCGATCCCCACCCGTCAGCACGTTTTGAGCCGTCTCAAAACAAACTCCGATCCCCACCCGTCAGCACTCAATTTCCTTGCAAAACCCAAACTGACTCACCTTTTTTGTCCCCTTCGGAAACGTTTCCTCCTTCCCCAGCTTTACCACCAGAAGAGCAGCAGCTGCTGCTGAGATTGGCGGAACTAGCAGAGAGGGATGAAGGGGAGGGTGAGAGTGGGAAACGGGAGGGGGAGGAGGGGGAGAGTGGGGAGCAAGAGGGGGAGGAGGAGGGGAAGAGTGGGGCACGGGAGGGAGAGGGGGTGGGAGAGAGTGAAAAACGGGAGGGGAAGGAGGAAGAGAGTGGGGAACGGGAGGGGGAGGGGGAGGGGGAGGGGGAGGGGGAGGGGGAGGGGGAGGGGGAGGGGGAGAGTGGGAAACGAGAGGGGGAGGAGGAGGGGGGGAGTCAGAAACAAGAGGGGAAGGGGGAGGGTGAGAGTGGGGAAGCAAAGGGGAAGATTGGGGAAGGGGAGGGGGACGGGCAGAAGGCGGAGGAGGAAGATAGGGAAAGGGAAAGTGAAATCGATGTGAGTAGAGTGAACAGGGAGAAGGCAGGGGAGGAAGCAGAGGGAGAAAGGGAGGGTAATAAGGGAAGGGAAGAGGAAGAGGAGGTGAAGGAGGAGGAGGAGGAGGTTACGACGGAAGCAGCATAGCCGAGAAAGCAGAGGGCAGTGGAGGGAGAGGAGGGAAGTGGTGGAAACGAGGGGGTGAAAGAGGGAGAAGAAACTAAAGGGAGTGGAATAAGAGTAAAGATAAGAGCACACGATGAGGAAGATAGATGAGAGGGAGTCACAAAGGCAAAGAGAGTGACGAAGGAGAGGACGAAGAGGAGGGGGGGGGAGGAGATGCTAGTTATTTCAAGAGAATGAGAAGGAATGCCGTACTTAGTGCCGATTTTAACAAACCTGCATGTGACAAGGAGCAATGTGGGGTGTATGGTACTGTATTGACCAGAAGTGACAATGTTGGTGATTGGTATAAAGGCACGATGTACATGTCTTGTCTCATAAATCTGATAGTGAGGGTGGTAGTGTTACGGTATGTGGGCCTCTTGTTAAAGAGAACTATTTGCGTGCAAGGGCATAGTAAAGCCAGACTGGATGGTGCCAAAACCCATCGAGAAATGTTGTACACTGGATTTCATGTCAAACTACCGGTAGGTTATTTTACAGTGTAGGGGTGGCCATCAGAGCGTATAGCAAACTTTGGGATCAAGCTCAAATATGCCAAGTACGTAATTCCAATTATCATTATGGCAATTTTCAGATAATCCAGTACGTTCAAAACTTCATCAGGAAAATGATGACTACCACTTTTGAACTGAACCGGTTTAAAGGATCTCACTGTAGCATCTGCATGGAGTATCATAAAGTAGTTGCGATTTCACATCTGCGTGCAACAGGGTTCTCAAGATGTTTCGGTTGACCCAGCAAGATCCGTGTTTTGATCCAGGATCACCCTGCCACTTCAGAGTGCCGAGCGTCATCGCCAATAATATTGAGCGGCTTCTTCCCTCATGTCAGACCGGGCTTTTTGTGAATATCTAAACACCACACCATTGAGGGCCGAGTCGCCAAGGTACTGCACACAAAATCGGCTAGGCATCTCTGACATATAGTGGCGAAAGCCACAGACAAAGTCGGTTAGGATTATAAGGTTCGAATTCAAAAGAAGCCTTGAATTTGGCTAAGTGAATCGGGGGGACACATTTCTGTAGCATCATAGGCTAGAACTCCCCATTTCTTCCCGAGCCTCCACGTTCATTCTCTCATGCGACGCAGGGGGTAACTACCATAGCCCCTATTTGGGTGTCCTGACCGGGTGTTCAGTTTGGGTTTTTTTATGAGGTTTTTTAAGGGTGTTGCATTTGGCTTGTTTTTCTGGCATTTTCTCTTGATGATGAATTAGGGTGGTTTGCGGAAAAACAAAAACTACACCACATCTCCTTTTGGTTCATGAGGTAACCCCTATTGCCCCTCTAACACGCTGAATGCGCCACCATGTGCAACACTCCCACTGTACTGTATGCGTGATTACCCAACTCACTCCCGCCATAACCAACCTTAGTTACCTCCCCCTCCACTCGCACCACTCGCCATACCATTCGTCACTAGCAACAGGTGCGCTGCACAACTAGTAGCTGAGCTACTAAGCTAGCCATGGCTGCCATGTTGAACCACCAGGGCGAGTTGGAGGAACCGTTGAAATCCGCTGTCGCTAAAATTGCTCCCCCATGGTCAGAGCCGCGTGGGTCAGATGAGCAGTCAATCCGAAGTTACGAAGTCCCACCAGCACCAGTTGCAACCTGCTGTGGGAGGGATTATCGTCGCCAGCTGTCAGCCACGTTGCGCCAAGTAGCCGACCTCGTCGGGGTGTTTCAACTTCCTGAGTCTGGCGTCAGCTAACGTGTTGCAACTAGCCGGGCCTGGTTCCAGTCGTGTGTCTGTGATGTCTTTAACGACCGGTTCCTTCTACCCAACCGCGCGGCACGATTGCGGGCTGTCACCCACATTACGTCAACTAGGCGAGCCTGGCGTCAGCCTAGTGCCAGTGATGTCTTTAACGACTAGTTTCCTCGACCCAACCGGCAGGGCTAGAGAGCACCTAGTTGTCTCCAACATGGCTCCCCCAGGCCCGCCAGCTCCGCGCGCGCGTGCTTCCGCGCCAGCTCCTCCCGCCAGGCCGTCAGCTCTTCTTAACTCCTTGCGCCAAGCCGCCAGTTCTTATTAGCTCCTCCCGCCAGCTCTTCGCGCTCCTTGCTTCCGCGCTAGCTCTTTCCGCCAGCCCGCCAGCTCTTATCAACTTCTCCCGCCAGCTTCTCCCTCCGTCTGTTCACCTCGCGCTGGTAGCAGGACGCCTCGAGTCCTCGGCAATTTCCGAGCCGCGCTTTCCTGTGACCGGTTCGGTGCAGTACGGAGTTAAGATTCACAACCGAGGGTCCCTCGTGGGATCGACTTTTGAGACCCCTCGGGAATGGTTTACGACCCTAGGTGGCTCGTGGGAGCGCCGGGAAGACTTTCATTTTGTGGTCAGGAGAAGGCTCTTATCCGCCGTACAGTGCGCGGATGGATTGAGATCTGATCCTCGAAATCTTCTTAGCAGCACGAGGCGGCTTGTGGTTGTTCGATGCTCGCCGTCAGGCAGACTCGACGCGCCACCTCTGGAGGCGTGAGAGGTAGAACTCGTGATATTGAACCGATAGATCGCGAGATGATATCTCACCTCGAGTCCCGAGAGCTAGGCGTTTAATGCTTTCAGTATCGCTTATGCTTAAGATGATCGCGAGCGCGAATGATACGACGGCTCACAGTCTACCGGAAACAGCTCTCTGCCCGATTGGAACGCGACTCCATCCGTCTATTAACTACCATCGACAATTAGGACTGACATACTAATCCGAGCACCTATTACTTGGAGTCACTTTCAAGCTCACTTCAAGATGTTCACTTGAAGCGCAGTTGTCATGCTCGCGCGATCTGCTCTGATGCAACAATGTCGGTCGATGCCTTAACTTGTCCCGCCATGGCTCCTCCCTCTCACCTGCCTGCTCCTGCGCCTGTCGCTGCTGCTGACCTAACTCCGGCTTCTGACGTAACTCTGGCTGCTGCTGCTGTTTCTACGGAACTAAGTAACCATTCCCCCCCTGCAGCAGCTCACCCGACTGACGCCATTCCTGGTGCTACCAGGTCGAGTAACTCTTTTCCCGGCCCTACTGCCAATCTAAATAGCGCTTTCCCCGCTGCCGCTGCTTCCGACTTCCGCAATCGCCGCCGCAGCTGGGACTCCGCGGATCCGACCAATCAGCGCCGCCTGCCGCTTCCGCCACCGCGCGCGGAGATCGCCGCCATGGCTTCGGGGCGAGTTGCCGCGCAGGTGGAGACGGCTCAAGGAGGAACGGCGCAAGGAGGGACGGCGCAAGGGGGGACGGCGCACGGGGGGACGGCGCAAGGGGGTACGGCGCAAGGGGGGACGGCGCAAGGGGGGACGGCGCAAGGGGGAACGGCGGCGGCGGGGGCGGCGAGGAGACATCGACGATTCGGGAGCTGGGATCTCACTGTCAGGTCCGCAGCCGCCGCCGCTGCTGACGAAACTCGCCCCTCGGAACAAGCGCCAGCGGCTCGACACGTGGTAGTTTTTGAGAGGTCGGCTGTAGCGCCAGAGGCGGGTGTGCGGGGAGGATCGAACAGCTGTTCACGGCCGCCATCGGCGCCAACATCGCCAGGACACGTGGCAGCGTCTGGTTCAGAGGCGTCTCAAAAACAGTCGGCGCCAGCATCCATGGGACGCGTGGCAGCAGCAGCGTTTGGAGGAGCTGTGGATGCCGCGGCGCGGTCAACGGCAGGTTCTGCAGCAGCTGCTGAAGTTTCTGAGCTTTCTGTGGTGTCTGCTGCTTCTGCAGTTGCTGAAATGAATGCTGTTTTCGCTGCTTCTTCGGCTCCTGCCGTTTCTGCTGCGTCAGCTGCGGATGGGAGCGCACAGGAACTGATGGCACCGCAGCAGCAGCCTAGTCGCCGACAGCACCTTCGGAGCCGAATCATGTCATCCATGGTCAACGCTATAACCATGCAACGCGGCCATCCCCAGCCCCACCAGCTGCCGCCTAACCCGCTCCCGCCGTCCTCCTCTCTCCCCGGCGCGAGCGGGCTCCCTCCCTCTTCCTCTCTCCCGCCGTCCTCCTCTCTCTCCAGCAGCGGGAGGCTTGCCGGCCGCGCCGGCGCTGCTGCTGCCGCTGCTGCTGCTACCGGCTGGCCGGCTGTAGCAAACGGTTGTAGCAAGGGCCGCGCCCTGCCGCCGCCTTCGTCACCGCCATCGTTGCTAACCCCTCCCCCACCTCCCCCGCCACTTCCCCCGCCACCTCCGCCGCCGCCGCCGCCGCTGCCGCTGTATGAGAGGCACAGGCCGGCAAGTTTGGACCTGGAACGTCTGGGGATCAGCACGGGGGGTGGGTCCGCTGCTCACGCACGTGCAGGCGCTGGTGCTGGCGCTGGTGCTGGCGCTGGGGCGCTGGTGCTGGCGCTAGCGCTGGCTCTGGCGCGCGTTTCACCCAAGGGTTGGCTTGTAACAAATCGGCTGGTAACGAGGTTGTTTGTGGCGCCGAGGGGGGGGGCAGGACGTGCGCAAGTGGGGTGCAGAGCGGGGACTGGCACCAGCGGCAATGGCAGCAGCGGCAATGGCAGCGGCAGTGGCACCAGTGGCAATGACAGCGGTGGCAGTGGCACCAGTGCTGACACTAGAACCGGCATCAGCGTGAGCAATGGCAGGGGCGCCATTGGCAGCAGCAGCGCCGATGGCAGTGGCAGCGGCGGGGTCAGCGGCAGTGGCAGCGGCGGTGGTCACGCTGATGCCAGTGTGGCGCCAATGCCCGAGCGCGGAGCTGATCCAATCGCTGATTACACCTATGCCAGCGTGGCACTGTCCAACGTGGACAACCAGTCCATGTGGAGTTCTCCTGGCGGCCCCTTATCGTCACTCGACCTGACAGGACAGCCTCCCTGCGAGTCTCCTGCTAGTCGTGGCTCCTTTAGCGACGTACCATCGACGGTCTCCAGTCAGGGCGATGACTCACCAAGCGAGATGGAGACCGTTTCTCTGCTCACCGCCAGGGCGTCTCAGTCCCTGCATGGCTTTCAGACTGAGTTGCCTCTGGAGTCGCAAATTGAGTCGCGAATTGAGACGCAAATAGAGTCGCATTTGCGTCACGCTCTGGTCCCCGCTCCGAGCAGTGCCAGCAGCCGATCTGGCCGGTCTGGCCGGTCTGGCCGATCTGGCTGGTCGGGTGTGCGGAGATTCACTCTACAACGGCAGTGAGCTAGACTACAGGGTTGGCACGAACTACTAGAGGTGATCTCCGCTTTGCTTGGTTCCTTAGTGCTTGCACATTCACAGGAGAAATTGGCAAGAGTTTCCACTAGCAAAGTTGGAATTACAGAATTGAACAAAAGAAGCAATGACAACAATGACTACATCAGGCACCTAGCAACCCTGCAGCTAGCCTGGTCGACTGCCAGCGCAGCTCGGTCGACCGCCTGCCAGCATTGCGTAGAGGAGCCGCGCCAGCACTGCAGAAGGGCGACCTGCCAACAAGGCTGGTCGACGGCGTGCCCCGTAGAACACAGCAGTGCGCGCGCTCGCAGGTGTGCGCAGGCGATTGGTCCGACTTGCCTCGTTGGGCATCCGTCGGCTGTTGTCTGCGCCTGACGAGCCACATCGACTTCGGGATACCAGCCCGAAGTCGCCTGCGCCATCGCGATCTCGACGGCATTCGTGTGCCTCCGCAGAAGTCGTCGAGCTGGTCACCCGGTCGACCCCTGGTGCTCTGGTCGACTCCCAGGTGCCTCCCGTCGACCACTGGGTCTCTCTGGTCGACCACCGGATGCTCCTGGTCGACCACACCTCCCGTCAAGCTACCCCTTGGTCGACGGACCCCTTCCGTCGACCAGAACTGCTCCGTAGACTTCCCCGTCGAACTGTAGGTCGACGGACTACTTCGTCGACCTCCTGGACGGCTCGCCCGTCGCCCAGGCCAGTCAGTTGCAGCTGTCGAGCATCCTGGGCGACAGCAACACCACAGCGGTCCGCTGCCGCTCGACGTAACCTGTCGAGCATCTATCCCACTGTGAACAGTCGGTCGCTACTCCCGTGCATCCGACCAAGTCGTCGGCGTTGCCCAAGCGAGGGCGGGGCCAACACTCCATTCCCGTTAACACTGCCCTGCCGTGCTCATGCTTGGGCCTCCAGCCCACACGGCAGTACTCCACGCAGAAAGCTCGTTCTCGGCGTGCACCCCATACACAGCACGCCGTCACCGCACCAGCCGTGCAGAAGGGCACGGCACCTACTGCTGCACCTCGTCATCGCCGTCGCCGACGTCCACCAAGCGAACTTGGCCGATAGCGACAGAGCACCGGTTGAAAGCCGGAAAATGCAGCGCCTTCGTCAGGAAATCCGCCGGCTGCTCGGTGGTAGGGATGTAGTTCAGCACAAATTTCCCGCGCCTCACCATTTGCTGCAGCCAGGCGTAGCGTCGCTCCATGTGCTTGAGGTTGCCCGTCAGCCCCAAGCCCTCAGCGACCGTGATTGCCGACTTGTTGTCGACGCGGAGGATGGTCGGCTTCCCAGCGTCGAGCAGCTTGAATTCCGCAAGGAGGAAGCGAAGTCGACGCCCTTCCTTGCCGGCATCCGTGGCCGCCACGTACTCCGACTCGGACGATGATAATGTCGCGCACTTGATGCGCGAGCTCGACCAGGAGACGGCGGCCCCTCCGTAGACGAACACGTAGCCTCCCGTGCTCGTCCGGTTCTGCTTGTCGCCCGCGTCGTCGGCGTCGACGTAGCCGATCAGCTCCAACGATTCTGGTCCACCGCCGAACTCCAGGGCGGTGTCGCAGGTGTCGGCGAGGAAGGCGAGGCCACGGTCGACCTCACGCCAATGCTGGTCGCTCCTCACCGTGAGGCCGCTCCCCAGCTTGCTGCAGGCAAACGCAATGTCCGGCCTCGTCGTCGTCGCCGCGAACTGCAGCGAGCCGACCTTCTGGCGGTACTCCTCCTCTTTGCGCTCCTGAGCCTCCTTGTCGTCGAACGTCAGATGAACGTAGGCGTCGACCGAGACCGGCGTCTTCGGGACTCGACCGCCTAGCTCCTCGTCGACGAAGCGCCTGCGCAGCTTGTCGGCGTAGCCCTGCTGGTGCAGCCATAACTTCCTGGCCGGCCTGTCGCGCACGATCTCCAACCCAAGGTACTTTTCCACCGGCGAGATCTCACGCAGCTCGAAGGCGGCCTCCAGCAGCTCCTTCAGCTCCTTCAGCATCGCGGTGCTGCTGCTAGCGGCGAGCAGGTCGTCGACGTAGACCAAGACCCAGCAGATCACACCGTCGTCGCCGGTCTTGAAGTAGAGCGCCTCGTCGACCTGGCTCTTCTTCCAGCCAGCGCCCAGCAGCACACCGTCAAGAGCCCTGTACCACAGCAGCGGCGTCTGCTTCAGCCCTTAGAGGCTTTTCAGCAGCTTACACACCCGGCCGGTCCCGTCGTCGAAGTAGTCCGGCTGGTACATGTAGAGCACTCTGTCGAGCTTGCTCTGCAGGAAAGCGTTCTTCATGTCGAGCTGCATCAGGTTGAGGTCGAGGACGGCGACTATGCTGAGGAAGATCCTCAGCGTGACGTAGCTGCTCACCGGCGAGTACGTCTCGTCGTTGTCGGCGCCGTACACCTACGTGAAGCCCTTTACGACCAGCCTCGCCTTCTCGCGCTCGACGGTGTCGTCGATGCGGTACTTGGTCGTCAGCACCCATCGGTTCTTCATAATGTTCACCCCGCGTGGGCGTTCGACCAGCTCCCAAGTCCCCATAGCGATGAGGCTACGGATTTCTTCTTCCATGGCGGCCTTCACCGCCTCGCCCTTCCAGCTCGACAACGCCTCTTTCACCGTCATCGTGGCGATGTCCCAGCGGTGTTCGGGATCGGCATGCACGTCAGGGTCGAGCTCCGACAGGTCTTCATCCTCCTCGGCATCGTCGTACAGCAGGTCGTCGTCGACCTCGTCGTACACCGTAGTAAAGGCAGCAGGCGGTAAGCACGCGTGAAAGCTCAACCGCTCCGGCGGCCGTCGAGATCGACCTGAGCGTCGCAGCTCAGGCTTCGTGATCGGCACTTCCATCATGTCGCTGTCGGTGGACTCCCCCACCGATAGCTCCCCTTTCGTTTCTACTAGAACGTCATCGACCAGCTGCTTCGACCCTTCAACCGGCTGTTCCTCTGCTGCTACCTTCGACAATTCTCGTGTCGACCGCTCCGGCTGCCGCTCCCCTATCGAGTGTACCCCTGCCGATGGCTCCTGTTCGACCGGCTCCCCTGTCTTCGACGGCTTTCCATCGTAGTCGTCGAGCTTGGCGCCTTGTCGTCCGCCGGCGATGCCACTGGCCGGCGCCACAGGCGACGCCTCCAGGCTCCCCTCATCGTCGGTGGCCGACACAGGTGTCGGCGCAGGCAGATCGGCGACGGGAGACGGAGGAGCAAGGACAGGGGAGGGTGGAAGGACCTCCACAGCATCTTCATCAGCAGGCTCGTCGACTTCGGCGAGCAGGGGAACCGTCGCCGTCGAGGTGTCCGTCGGCGGGTGCGCCTGCGTCCGCTCCGACGCCGGCCCATACTTCGCCTTCCACACTTCCAGCGACAGCGTCTCATAGAAGATCACCTCGACCGACGTGACCATCTTGTTGTCGGTCAGGTCGAGCACCTCCCAGCCCTTGCTCGCTGGCGACACACCCAGGTGAAGTCCCCAGCGAGCCTTCGGCGCCAGCTTTCCACCTCGTTGCTGCTCGGGAACCATGAACTGCACCATGCAGCCCCACACCCGCGCCAGCGTAAGGTCGGGCTTCTGTCCGGTCAGCAGCTGGTACGGAGTCGTCCCCGGCGGCGTCGTCGACCGCTCCAAGCAGTTGCGCACCCAGACAGCTTGTCGTAGAGCCAGGTGCCACCAATGGTGCTGCACGCCCATGTGCAGCAACATCGTCCGCACGGACTCGACGGCCGTACGCATCTCCCGCTCGGCCATGCCATTCTGCTGCGGAGTGTAGGGGCACGTCAGGTCGTGGACGATGCCCTTCCCGTCGACGAAGTCGGTGAACGCCTTCCCGAGGAATCCCCCCCCTCGATCGGAGCGAAGCGACAGAACCGACTTCTTCGTCTGTCGTTCCACAAGCACCAGCCACTTCTCGAACTCCCGCAGCACGTCGCTCTTCTTAGCGACCGGCATCGCCCATACAAATCGAGTATGGCGATCCTTCAGCAGCAGGAAGTACAAGCTGCCATCCTTGGCAGCCACCCGAAATGGCCCGCACAAGTCAATGTGCACGACAGCCAGCGCCTCCGCTGCATCCGAGCCCTTGGCGGGGAAGGTGTGCCGCGCCAGCTTTCCTCCGACGCACGAGACACATGGCGGGTCTGCTCCGGTTGACAACGTGATGTCGAGCCGAGTAGCCACACCATGCTTTGCCGAGCTCTTGATCGTGTCGACGTTGACGTGGGCAAGCCGCGCATGCATCCTATCGGGGGTCATCTTCGTCGCCGAGGTGATCGTCCGCAGAGCCACCACCTCGGTCGACTGTAACTGCGTCGGGCAGGGGCGAAGGTCGGTGCAGAGGACTCGTCCGGTGTAGTGTGCTCGACCAAGCACCTCTCCAGTCGCGTCGACGAGCAGCATCTCATCGCCATCGCCATGCAGTAGCACGCCGCTCTCCTTCAGCTGGCCAGCAGACAACAGGTTTGCCTGTACGCCTGGAACGTAGAGTACGTCGGGGATGAGAACTCGCTTCCCGGCCTCCCCTTGCAGAGCGACGGTTCCGCGACCGTCGACAGGCTGCAATGCCCCGTTGAACCCACGCACATGCTTCACCCCATCGCTCGGCCCCATGTCAACGAAGACCGATTTCGTCCCCATCAGGTGGTGGGAGCACCCGCTGTCGAGCAGCACCGCCATCGGGTTGGCCTGCACAGCTGCTGCCACCGCCTGGAAGTCCTCGCCAGCCTCCGGTGCTAGCGAGACCATCGGCTCCACTACGCCGACCATCGAGCACGACGCCTCCCCGTCGCCTCGGTTCTTGCCGCTGGAGCTGTCGACGTCCTTCGTTGAGGGCGTTTTCTTCGACGCTTGCTTCTCCTTGCGCGGCTTCTCAGCTCGACGGGGGCGACGACTGGTCGATCGACCGCCGCCTTCCTTGTTGTCGTCCTCGCCGCTCTCATCGCGGTCGGGGCACTCGAAGGAGAGATGGTCGGGGTCGCCGCAGACCCAGCACTCCCGCCGTCGACCACCACCTCGTCGACCCTTGTCCCGCGTCGACCTCGTTTCGTCGACGTCCTTCGTCGACCGCCCACCTCCGCTACCACTTTCGCCCGGCTTCCTGCGCTGCTCCCGCTGTGTATTCGACTTCGTCGGTGCGGCGTAACTCGCCTGCGGAAGGAACTCCGTGGGCTGCTCTGCCTCCTGCATCGCCTCATCCTGGAGAATGTAGCTGGTGATGGAGTCTTCGTCGAGGGACTCACGCGTGCCGGGCACCATCATCATCCTCTTCATGAGATTGTAGCTGCGCGGCAAGCCCTTGACGATGTGGGTGATGTAGGACGCCGTCGAGTATTCGGCGCCTGCCATTCGCATTTCAGCCAGGATCCGTCGAGCACGGTTGCAGTAATCCGTCGCCGACTCCTGCTCGCCCATCCGAATGTGGGTCATCTTCTCCTCCAGCTGCCCGATGTACAGGTCGTCCCTGACCTGATACGTCGATATGATGAAGCGCCATGCCTGGTGACCAGCATCCAGTCGCTCTCGACAGCTCCTGAGCGCCAGCTGTACCACCGGCGAGCAGCACCTCGAGATGACCATGAAGGTGAGCAGGTGAGCAGAACGAAACTCCCCGCGCAGCCCGACATCCTCCTCGGGCGGAATTGGCACGGTGCCGTCGGCGAAGCCCTTCAGCCCGGCGACCTCCAGCTGAGGTTCGATCGACTCCCTCCAGGTGATGAGGTCCCGTCGACCTTGCAGCGGAGCGACGGTGATTCGATCCGGCGAAAACTTGAAATAGCCATACGCCGGTGCAATCCCGCCCGCCGTCACATGCGTCGTCGCCGAGAGCCCACCACCACTTCGTGGAGGAGAGCGACGTCGAACATCGACGTCGGCGTGCGAGCTGCCTGCAGCCGCCGTCGACCGCTGCACTCGCGCCTGGATTCCGTCGACACCACCGTCGACCTTGATCACTCCTCTATGCCTCGTGCCTTCGCTGCCGCTGACTCGTGCACCACCGTCGACCTCGTCGTCGACGCCACCTTCGTTACGCACCGGTCGAGGAGAAGCAGGACGGGAAGGGTGTTCCGTCGCCCACTGCGACCGGATGCCCAACTCGGCGATCACCAAGGGGATCGTCCCGTACTCACCATTTGCGTGGCGTCTCCTTGCGTCAGCCAAACGTGCCTCCAAAGTGTCAGCTACACCCGCATCAACTACGAGGTCGACCATGGCGACTATCGTTGCTGCCGGCCTACGAACGACTTAGTAGGTGCAAAAGTCGGCTCCTATCTGAAGGTCGCGTGTTCGATCCACGCTCACCGCACCATGCGGAGATTCACTCTACAACGGCAGTGAGCTAGACTACAGGGTTGGCACGAACTACTAGAGGTGATCTCCGCTTTGCTTGGTTCCTTAGTGCTTGCACATTCACAGGAGAAATTGGCAAGAGTTTCCACTAGCAAAGTTGGAATTACAGAATTGAACAAAAGAAGCAATGACAACAATGACTACATCAGGCACCTAGCAACCCTGCAGCTAGCCTGGTCGACTGCCAGCGCAGCTCGGTCGACCGCCTGCCAGCATTGCGTAGAGGAGCCGCGCCAGCACTGCAGAAGGGCGACCTGCCAACAAGGCTGGTCGACGGCGTGCCCCGTAGAACACAGCAGTGCGCGCGCTCGCAGGTGTGCGCAGGCGATTGGTCCGACTTGCCTCGTTGGGCATCCGTCGGCTGTTGTCTGCGCCTGACGAGCCACATCGACTTCGGGATACCAGCCCGAAGTCGCCTGCGCCATCGCGATCTCGACGGCATTCGTGTGCCTCCGCAGAAGTCGTCGAGCTGGTCACCCGGTCGACCCCTGGTGCTCTGGTCGACTCCCAGGTGCCTCCCGTCGACCACTGGGTCTCTCTGGTCGACCACCGGATGCTCCTGGTCGACCACACCTCCCGTCAAGCTACCCCTTGGTCGACGGACCCCTTCCGTCGACCAGAACTGCTCCGTAGACTTCCCCGTCGAACTGTAGGTCGACGGACTACTTCGTCGACCTCCTGGACGGCTCGCCCGTCGCCCAGGCCAGTCAGTTGCAGCTGTCGAGCATCCTGGGCGACAGCAACACCACAGCGGTCCGCTGCCGCTCGACGTAACCTGTCGAGCATCTATCCCACTGTGAACAGTCGGTCGCTACTCCCGTGCATCCGACCAAGTCGTCGGCGTTGCCCAAGCGAGGGCGGGGCCAACACTCCATTCCCGTTAACAGGGTGGGTCCTCGGGTGGAGCATCCCGTGATTCTAGAGCAGATTCTCGTCACAGGTGTGTTTTGAGTCGACTCAAAACACACCTTTTGAGTCGACTCAAAGCATCCCGTGATTCTAGAGCAGATTCTCGTCACGCCGTTGTTCAAAACCGTGCTGATCGCCGTGGGTACGAGGGCGACGGTACTAGCCGCGATGGCAGCAGGAGCAGCAGCTATGGCAGGGGTTATGGTGGTGGGGGAGGTCGGTACGAGCAGGAAGGTGCGGGGAAGGTTCTGGACAATCGCGCGCTGCTGTGCCCGCACTTTCGGTTCTGCCCCGGGTGCGGTTACCAACTCGTCGACGGGTCTACAGTAAACCGCGCGTTACAAGCACATGCGTTACGGGAACAGCCTCTGCTACAGGAACGGGAGCTGGCAAACCGGCTGCCGGTGCGTCCAAGCCTGCAGGAGCAGTATAGGCAGCAACAGCAGCGACAGCACTGGGAGCAGGAGCAGCAGCGGCGGCAGCAGCAGCAGCACGACCTTCGTTATAAGAACAGCCCGCCCCAGGGCCGGCCTCGAGAGGCTGGTGACGCCGCTGTGCGGAGGCTCGTGTGCGCTGGAGCGGAGGTAATCGACCCTCGTTATAGTCACGCTGTTTCTCGTGTGAATTCCCGCGGAACCGCATCGGAGCGAACACGAAGTGAGGGAGAGGACGAGGAGGAAGAGGAGGAAGAAGAAGAAATGGCGAGGGTGGGAGTGAGCGGGGGAAGGGAGGTTTGGGGGGAGAAGGGACGGGAAAAAATGGCAGCGCTGGTTACAGTGGTTGGGGCAGATGGGAGGAGGCGTCGGGCAGTTTTGGAAATTGTGGGGCCAGGCGAGTTGGTGCTGAAATCCCCAGGAGAGGAGGAAAAGAGGAGGGAAGGGAGGAGGGGAGAGGAGGAAAAGGGGAGGGATGTGGAGGAGACGGGGGAAAGGAGAGGTGCTCAGAGGCAGAGGCAGAGGCAGAGGCAGAGGCAGAGGCAGAGGCAGAGGCAGGAGCAGAGACAGTGCCCGCGGGAAGCACTGAAAGAAATGCGAGGCTCCCGATTGGAGAGGTTGAGGGATTGCGACGCAACTGGGGAACCAGTGGGCCCACGCAGCCCGATCCTCCAGAGGGGGAGGCTCGGGAACGCGAACCTGAGGGTCGGGGAGGTTCGGCGGACTGGCAGCATGGATTTAAATATTTACAATCTGACAACCCCGAGCAGGAGAAAGGTTGATGTGGATTATGAAGATTTTAGTGAGGAGGGTAATTGGGAGGAGAGGGAGAAGGAAAGGGAGGGAGAGATGGAGGAGGATGGGAAGGAGGAGAGGGAGGAGGACGGGTTTGAAGGCGAGAGGGTTGACAATCAAGGCTGGTTGATTTCTGAGAAATCTCAGGAATCGGCTGATGATGGAGAGGCAGCAGAAAGGGAAGCAGTGACAGTGATTGTGTGTGACGGAGGGGAGGAGGAGGAGAGGGAACCAGATGATGTGTACGAGGATTGCAAATCGGAGGTTCAATCAGTGAATGAGAACGCAGGGAGTGCAGCCGAGAAAGGGAAGGTGCCAAGGCAGGGGATTCTTCAGGTAGATATTCAGGTGCCAGGAGATTCCCCAGATGCAGACGCGGCTCTCTCGTGTTCATCGCACAACCCTGCCAGCACCACCAGCACCGCCAGCACTCGCAGTGGCAGTGGCAACATCACCACCATCAGCAGCACAACCAGCACCACCACCAGCACCAGGAGCAGAAGGAGCAGCAGCAGCACTGCCGCTGCCAAACCCAGTTCTCCTCCACACCCTCCACACAGCCCCAAGCCCCTCCCCTTCCCGCCTCCCCCACTCCACCGCTCTTCCCCAAGCCCTGCTACCCACCCCTCCCCAAGCCCTGCCACTCACCCCAAGGCACCTCAGGGTGAACCCCAGAACGCACCTCAAAACGCACCTCAAAACGCACCTCAAAACGCACCTCAAAACGCACCTCAAAACGCACTTCAAAACGCACCTCAAAACGCACTTCAAAACGCACTTCAAAACGCACTTCAAAACGCACGTCAAGCTCCCCCTCAGAATCCCTTCCGCCCTGCTCCCAGCCCGCGCACCCATCGCCGCATCTCCTCCTGGGCAGAAGGGGGCGGCGCGGGCCCAACTGCGTACGTGCTGCGGCGGCCATACAGGGATCTGACTCGGTTCTATGAGGTGGGGGAGGAGGAGCTGGGCGTGGGGCAGTTTGGGGTGATCCGCTCGTGTGTGAGCCGTGCAACGGGGGCTCTCTTAGCATGCAAGACCATCAGCAAGCAGAAGATCGAGGTGAGAGTTCTGTTCTGAGGCAGGTAGGGATATCTGGTAGCTAAAGGAGCTCACTGACTGGGTGGTACGAGATGGGGGAGGAGGAGCTGGTCGTGGGGCAGTTTGGGGTGATCCGCTTGTGTGTCAGCCGCGCGACGGGGGCTCTCTTAGCATGCAAGACTATCAGCAAGCAGAAGATCGAGGTGAGATTTCTGAGGCAGGTAATCATATCATATGTAGTAACTAGAGGGGATCTGACTCGGCTGTACGAGGTGGGGGAGGAGGAGCTGGGCGTGGGGCAGTTTGGGGTGATCTGGTCGTGTGTGAGCCGCGCGACGGGGGAGCTGCTCGCCTGCAAGACCATCAGCAAGCAGAAGATCGAGCTGAGGGAGGGTCGTTCTCGGGCACAAGGACGCACATAGGTGTCAATGCTGCAGCAGGTGAAGGCAGTCACCTGTTGCAATGCTGCAGGTGACTGCCGCTTTGGCTCTTCCTGCTTCTTTGGTCTCCTCATCCTTTCCCCTGTTTCTCTCTTCTCCCTCCTCAAACCACAGTCAGCAGAAGACGCGGAAGACGTGCGAAAGGAGGTGGCGATGCTGCAGCAGGTGAAGGGACACCCGAGCATCATTGAAATACATGACTCAATGGAAGACCCTCGGCACATCCACATCCTCATGGAGCTTGCTAGAGGCGGGGACCTCTTCGACCGCATCAAACAGCGCTGGAGCAAGCAGAGCAAGGAGAGCAAGGAGAGCGCACACAAGCGCTTGCTTGGAGGAGGGAGTGTGGAGGGGAGAGTGGGGTTTTCAGAGGAAGAGGCGGCGGTGGTGGTGGTGCGAGTGGTGGAAGCGTTAGAGTACTGCCACTCGCAGAGCATCATGCACCGGGATGTGAAGCCGGAGAACATTTTGCTCATGAACCGGGATGACGACACGTGTGTCAAGCTGATTGACTTCGGCGTCGCGGCGCGGTTCCAAGATGGTACGTGCAGGACGGTGTAGAACGGTGTAGAACGGTGCATGCAGGGATGGGATCATGCACCGGGATGTGAAGCCGGAGAACATTTTGCTCATGAACCGGGATGACGACACGTGTGTCAAGCTGATTGACTTCGGCGTCGCGGCGCGGTTCCAAGATGGTACGTGCAGGACGGTGTAGAACGGTGCATGCAGGGATGGGATGATGCACCGGGATGTGAAGCCGGAGAACATTTTGCTGATGCAGAGGGATGATGACACCATCATGGGATGATGACACCATCATGCAGAGGGATGATGACACCATCATGCAGAGGGATGATGACACCATCATGCAGAGGGATGATGACACCATCATGCAGAGGGATGATGACACGTATGTCAAGCTCATTGACTTTGGCGTCGCTGCAAGGTTCCAGGATGGTACGTGCCTGCCTGGTTGCTTTTTTGTGACAATTTTTTAGGCGCCTCAAAAGACAGCACGTGCCTGCCTGGTCGGATTGTTGTTTCCCAGGTTATTGGCGTCGGCATGTTGTGACTTTTGAGTCGTCCCATAAGTCAAAGTGGTCCATGCCAGGACGAGCTTCTTCAACCTGTTGCGTTTGCCTTCTGTGCGTGTGTGTCCCTTCCACGTGCTCCCATGAATTCGCCTTCTATCTGCTGCCACAGACGTACCTCTCACGGAGTTTGTCGGCACGCCATACTACATGGCACCAGAGGTGCTGGCAGGCTCGTACGGGCCCGAAGCTGACATCTAGAGCGCCGGAGTTGTGCTTTACACTATCCTCTGCGGCACACCTGCTGCTTGATTCAACTCATCCTCTCTGTTTTTGTGCCCCACACCCCACAGGCACGCCTCTCACGGAGTTTGTCGGCACGCCATACTACATTGCACCAGAGGTGCTGGCAGGCTCATACGGGCCCGAAGCCGACATCTGGAGTGCCGGAATTGTGCTCTACACTATCCTCTGCGGCGCGTCTCCTTTTTTCGCCGACACCAACGAGGAGATTTTTCAGGCGATTCGGGAGAAGCCGGTAAAGTTTAAAGCTGCCCGGTGGAAGAAAATCGGGGCAGGGGCGAAGGAGTTGCTGAAGGGCATGCTCGGAAAAGATCCTGCAAAGCGCATGTCTGCTGTGGATGTTCTTGGTAAGCTATGGCCTCTCTTTCCTTCCCCGCTCCCCTATCCGTCCTCCCATCCCTCTTCCTCCACAACCCCCCTCCTCTACTGTCAGAATGAGGAATGGATGTTGCATTGATGTTGGTTGGGGTACATATGACAAACCCTAACTTCTGTACCCCCTAAGACAAACCTCACTACAGGCTACAACATTTGACACACCCCCATAGCCTAAGTGAGGGGTGTCTAGCAAAAACAAAAAAAGAGTACGGTCACAAGACCAGTCCAAAAGAAAACAAAGCTCAGGGTGGATCACAACGTCACCACACACTCTGAGCACAAGCAACAGTGGCCACAAGGCCAGTCCAAGAGATCACAAGTATATATAGTAAGTGTACAGACGAAGCAGGCAATAAACTCAAGTCTACGCATGACTAGAACTTGTGTCAACAAGGCCTAACTGCACACAACACCTCTGGTGGTCACAAGGCGGAAGCGCCTTGGTGAAGATGTCTGCAGTGTTGGCCTCGGACTCTACAAACTCGAAGCGAGCCTGTCCACGCCTCTGCAACTCTCGCAGAAGAAAGTACTTGACGTGAATGTGCTTCACTCTGCTCTCCAGTCGCGGCTCACGACAGAGGAGGATCGACGCCTTGTTGTCAGTAAACAAGGTCGGTGCAGAGCTCGGCCGCTCACCAAGGTCGGCGAGCAAGAAGGTCAACCACCGTAACTCCTGTGCCGCCATGGCACCAGCGTAAATCTCAGCCTCAGCTGTAGAGGTCGAGACAGAAGAGGAGCACGTGGAACGCCAGGAAACAACTCCAGAACCCAGACTGAAACAGTACCCCTGAGTAGACCTGTGAGTCTCAGCGTCGTCAGCGTAAGAGGAGTCACAGTGACCAGTGAGTACGACAGACTGCTGCCCTCCAAGAACTAGCCCCACGCCTGATGTAGTCGCTAGGTACTTCGCCACCCTCACAGCTGCCGTCCAGTGAACAGGACGGTGTCTCCCTGGCGCAACAAAGCGCGCAAGGATGCTGAGAGGGAAGGCGAGGTCCGGGCGAGTACAAGTCATCAGGTACATGAGGCAACCCACAAGCTCTGCGTAGGGACCACTAGGCTCAAACGGCTCGTCAGGAAAGGGACCAGTGAGTCTGTGGTCAACAGCTAGAGGTGTGCGCTGTACGGTGGAGTGCTGAAGCCCGAACCGCTGAAGGACCTGCTGCACCATGTGTGACTGTGAGAGTGTAATGGTGCGAGCGGCTCTGTCCCTGGTGATCTGCATGCCAAGGTAGTGGCGCAGCTCACCAAGATCAGTGCACGTGTGTCTCTTCTGCAGTTCGGACTTCACGTCCGCCAAAGCAACCCTGTCCGGAGTGGCGAAAACGAGGTCGTCGACGTAGACCAGGACAAAGAACGGTGTGGAGCCACGACGAACGAACAGCGACGGGTCGGCAGAAGACGGCTGGAACCCAAGGTCAGAGAGGGTAGAACGCAGAGTGTCGTGCCACTCACGAGGGGCCTGGCGAAGACCGTAAACAGGTCGCCTCAGCCTCCACTGGGTCCCAGGAGGGAAAGTGCCAGTGAAGGCCGAGGGACGACGTAACCAGACCTCCTCGTGTAGGCTGCCCTGAAGGAAAGCAGTGGAGAAGTCGAGAGAGTGTAACTCGTAGTCTCTCTGTGCTGCTACGTGTAGTAACACCCGAAGAGTGGTCATCTTCGGGGTAGGTGCGAAGGTCTGAAAGAAGTCAACTCCCTCGCGCTGACTGAAACCTCTAGCCACGTAGCGCGCCTTGAAGACCGGGGGAGATCCCGGTGGCCGCTTCACCCTGTAGATCCACATGCCGTCGACTACGTTCGCCCCAGGGGGGGGAACCTCATCGACGTAGGTGCCTGTGGATCTGTAGGAGGCCATCTCTGCGTCCATGGCAGCTCTCCACTGAGAGGCCCAAGGCCCTGACACTGCCTCAGCGTAAGTGCGAGGAGTCGGAATGTCAAGGGCGTCGGGGTCACCCTCAGGGGCGAGGAGCATGGCACAGAGATGAGGGGAAGCGGCCGCCAGGAACTCTAGCTCAAACTGCCTGTCCTCTAGGGCGTCACAGCCAAGGGCAGACACACCCCCGACGGCCAGAGGACTGGTAGGAGGAGCAGCCACAAGCGTGGTGGCGTAGTCAAGGCGGCGGGTAGAGGCAAAGTCAGTAACTGCGGCAGTAAGAGCGGACACAGAGGACACAGAGGCACGAGGGTGAGTAACAAGAGAGGTGAGAACACGAGAGAGAACAGGACGGTACGTGCGGTAGTAGTCAGTGACAGGAGTAGGGAGCGACACAGTGAGGGCCGACTCAGGAGGAGACGGAAGCACAGACTGAGACGGACGAGGTGGACTAGAAAGAAGGAAGGCAGTACGAAGGTCAGTGAAGGGAACAGGAGACGAGGGACGAGCACGAGGGGAGCGACGAGTAGCCCAAGAACGAGACGGAGGAGGAGAGGACAAAGGCGGAGAACTGGGGAAAACAGCGGGGGAGGAGTCAGGAGGAGGAAACGTGGGACCGTAGACAGGAGGAGAGGCGGAGGAGGGAGGAGAAGGGGAGGGGAGACCAAGGATCCGAAGACCCGAGACAGGAGGAGGAAGTGGCTGCTGCTGCTGCGGCTGCGACTGCTGCTGCTGCGGACGCGGCTGCTGCTGGGACTGCTGCTCCTGCGGGTCCAGCTGCTGCTGCTGCTGCTGCTGCTGCTCCTGCGGCTCCAGCTGCTGCTGCTGCTCCTCCAGCCGCTGTAACTCCCTCTCCTCTCTCTCCAACTCCAGCTGCTCGTCACGGGCACGGCGAACACGAGCCTGGTGCCTAGTCGGGTAGGGGTGGGGGGGTGGAGTAGTGTCCGAAGCAGCGGCAGCTCCAGAGTCCACCTCAGAAGAACTAGGCGCACCACCCCCAGAGGCAGCACTAACACCAGCTCCAGAACCAGGCTCACCTGAACCCGAAGGAGGCGCACCCTCACCCCCAGACGCAGCACCCCCAGTGTACGCGCGGCCAGCACCAGCTCCCGGACGACAAGAGTCCTCTGCACCCACCGGGTCAGCTCCAACTCCAGAACCAGAAACTCCAGCTCCAACCCCAGCTCCAACTCCAGCACCCCCAGAACCAGAAACTCCAGTGCCAACTCCAGCTCCAACTCCAGCTCCAACTCCAGCACCCCCAGAACCAGAAACCGGTACAGGAACAGGCGCCGCACCAACCTCTCGAGAGCTAGCACCAGCGGCACGCTGCGAGGAGGACTGTGGGGAGGGAGGCTGTACCGGAGGGGCTACCGAAGGAGGAGGGGTAGCCTGGGACACACCTGACGGGGCTGGACCAGGGGGGGGAGGCTGTACCGGGGGAACAGGAGGGGGAGCGGCAGTCAGGAAGAGGGGGGGAGGAGGAACCTGGAGACCTCGACTGGGGTACCTGACGTAGTACGGAGTGGACTCCTCGAAACGGACGTCACGGGAGTCAAAGAACCGGTGAGAGGGAGGGTGGTAAAAGGTGAAGTCAGAGGAGTCCTCAGGGAAACCAAGGAAGACACAGGGGACGGCACGAGGCGAGAGCTTGTCCGCGGAGGTGACGCTAGGCTCGGTACTAGGCGCGGTAACAACTAAACTGGTACGAACGAGAGGTAGGATCAGGCTCGGGAGGTACGAACGGAGAACGGAGGAACGGGATCCCACAGGATCCTAACCTAGCTGATACCATGTCAGAATGAGGAATGGATGTTGCATTGATGTTGGTTGGGGTACATATGACAAACCCTAACTTCTGTACCCCCTAAGACAAACCTCACTACAGGCTACAACATTTGACATCTACCCCCCTCCCTGCCTTCCTCTCCTCACTGTCTTCCTCTCCTCCCTCTCTCCTCCCACCCACTCCCCTTCCCCAACTACACCTGAAACCCTCGCTTTCATATTTTCCGTCTTTCGCTCCCTGTTGTCTTGTGCTTCCATGCTCACACATACTATCCATTGATTCAGAAGTTGTAATCGTACTCCCTGCATCCTCATGCATATTACATTGCCCTTCTGGCCTGTGTCTTGTCCTTCCAGGGCACCCATGGATACTAACCCATTTGAGTCATACTTAAAAACTTGCAGTGTGCTAGTGAGAAGTATATACTGTACAGAGCACCTTTTATTTGACATAATTTCAGCTTGATCTAGGTGTTCACCTTTCTGCGCACAATTTGCAAAAACCTGTTCACATGTGATTCTTTTGTTGCTTTGTGAAATAATGACCGCGTGCATTGTTTTACAGCTTGTTGAAATTTAATTGTCAGGTACAGCCATGAATAATGTAGGATGATTTACACTCATTGGTTTGTTGGGCCCTCGAGATCTGTTGCGGGCCGCTCTTCCGTTGTCGGCACGCAACCGCAACATGTGTCCGTTACGCACAAAGCGGTCGCGAATCAACAATCTCCTTCGGCGAATAGGAAACTTTGTTTCGCAAGGCTTCACCCACAGGCCAACTCCAACTCCCTTCAGAAATCAAAATCGAGAGTTGACTCACGAGAATTGCGAGTTCAGTAGGGGTTCAGTAGGGTCTCAGCGAGAATTGCGGAAACCGTAACTACCTTGAGATCTCATCAACACCTCTTTCGAGGCGCTCATCATGGTAGACATTGTCGGACGGTCCAGATGAGTCGCGGGGAAAGATATATGTTGCTCGATCCTGCTGGACGGTACTTGTGGCTGAGTGAGTCAGTCACGTACGCCGCAGGGATGCAGCCATGCGGCAATACCATTCGTCACCGACAGGCGAAATCCTTGCATTTCTGTAACTGCTCCCTAGTTTTGCGTTTGACGATGCTAGCGAACAGCAGGCGATTGTTAGCGACGGCAGCGGTGGTGCTGTAGGAGAGATCTCTGTTTGTGCGTCTGGTGATAGACTTCGTTGGGAGAGAAGCAGTGTATGTGCATGTTGTCGGTAGATTCTGGTTGAGAATCGCCATGTAAAACGGTCAGATTACCGACAATGGAGATAGTCTTAGCAAACTGACTGACGTGGTTCTTCTATGGGAAGGCCGTAGGTGCCATGTTTCAATCATGGTTTTCCCGCAACCTGCGGAACGGACTGTAAACGGATTAA